AGTGTTATGCCCTCTGATGCCCCCAGTACTGTGCCCTCCTGCCCCCTCCCATACTTTGCCTTCCTGAGCCCTCTGTACAGTGCCCTGCTGACCCCCTGTTCACTGCCCTAATTTTCCCTGTACACTGCTCATCTTCTTACTTCTAACCTCTGTACAGTCCTACCTACTACTGACTTCTGTACACTGACCTACCTACTATTGACCTCTGTACAATGCCGTAGATACTACTAACCTCTGTAAAATGCCCTACATACTACTGACCTCTGTACGCTGTCCTACATCCTACTGACCTCTGTACACTGCTCTACCTACTACTGACCTCTGTACACTGCCCTACATCCTACTGACCTCTGTACACTGCCCTACATCCTGCTGACCTCTGTATACTGCCCTACATCCTACTGACCTCTGTACACTGCCCTACATCCTACTGACCTCTCTCTGTACACTGCTCTACCTACTACTGACCTCTGTACACTGACCTACCTACTACTGACCTCTGTACACTGCCCTACATCCTACTGACCTCTGTACACTGCCTTACATCCTACTGACCTCTGTACACTGCTCTACCTACTACTGACCTCTATACACTGCCCTACACACTACTGACCTCTGTACACTGCCCTACATCCTACACTGCCCTACATCCTACTGACCTCTCTACACTGCCCTACATCCTACTGACCTCTGTACACTGCCTTACATCCTACTGACCTCTGTACACTGCTCTACCTACTACTGACTTCTATACACTGCCCTACATACTATTGACCTCTGTACACTGCCCTACATCCTACACTGCCCTACATACTACTGCCCTCTGTACACTGCCCAACATACTACTGCCCTCTGTACACTGCCCAACATACTACTGCCCTCTGTACACTGCCCTACCTACTAGTGGCCTCTGTACACTGCCCTACCTACTACTGACCTCTGTACACTGCCCTACATCCTACACTGCCCTACATACTACTGACCTCTGTACAATGCTCTACCACAAAGGAAGCAATGCAATGTGAACAGGATACTTTTTTTTATACATGTACATGGTACAGATTGTAAGCTCTAACAAGTAGGTTCCTCTGTTTCTTCTTGTACCAAATTGTATTGTAACTGTAATGTCTACCTTCATTTTGTAAAGTGCTGCGCAAACTGTTGGCTCTATATAAATCCTATATAATATTATTAATAATATGGCAGGCACAAGTCAGGAATATGAAATGTTGGGTTTACATATTCTTTACGGGACATGGAAGACTTGGTTCAGCAAAGGGAAATGGAAGCCCTAATTTAACATAGCCTAAATGGAAATGGAAGCCCTGATTTAACATAGTCTAAATGGAAATGGAAGCCCTGATTTAACATAGTCTAAAGGGAAATGGAAGCCCTGGTCTAACATAGCCTAAATGGAAATGGAAGCCCTGATTTAACATAGTCTAAATGGAAATGGAAGCCCTGATTTAACATAGTCTAAATGGAAATGGAAGCCCTGATTTAACATAGTCTAAAGGGAAATGGAAGCCCTGGTCTAACATAGCCTAAATGGAAATGGAAGCCCTGATTTAACATAGCCTAAAGGGAAATGGAAGCCCTGATTTAACATAGTCTAAAGGGAAATGGAAGCCCGGATTTAACATAGCCTGAAGGGAAATGGAAGTCGGGTCTAACGTAGCCTGAAGGGAAATGGAAGCCCTGGTCTAACATAGCCTGGAGGGAAATGGAAGCCCTGGTCTAACATAGCCTGGAGGGAAATAGAAGCCCTGGTCTAACATAGCCTTTAGGAAAATGGAAGTCTGATCTAACATAGCCTGAAGGGAAATGGAAGCCCTGGTCTAACATAGCCTGGAGGGAAATGGAAGCCCTGGTCTAACATAGCCTGGAGGGAAATGGAAGCCCTGGTCTAACATAGCCTGGAGGGAAATGGAAGCCCTGGTCTAACATAGCCTGGAGGGAAATGGAAGCCCTGGTCTAACATAGCCTGGAGGGAAATGGAAGCCCTGGTCTAACATAGCCTGGAGGGAAATGGAAGCCCTGGTCTAACATAGCCTTTAGGAAAATGGAAGTCTGATCTAACATAGCCTGAAGGGAAATGGAAGCCCTGGTCTAACAAAGCCTGGAGGGAAATGGAAGCCCTGGTCTAACAAAGCCTGGAGGGAAATGGAAGCCCTGGTCTAACAAAGCCTGGAGGGAAATGGAAGCCCTGGTCTAACAAAGCCTGGAGGGAAATGGAAGCCCTGGTCTAACATACCCTGGAGGGGAATGGAAGCCCTGGTCTAACATAGACTTAAGAACACCTGGAAGCCCTGATTTAGAGTAGCCTTCAAGCAAACCTAAATTCTCCTATCCTTTACAGCCAACGAAGCTGTCATCTTAGCCTCTGCTCGGTCTGCAGTTCCCATGGTGTTGCACATCTGATCAGTTATGGAGCCAGACATTGATGGCTTGACAATTTGGTTGACAGCGCAGGCATCTGTTATCATTCACAGCATGCCTTGAAAGTAACAGTTTGGGAAGCAGTTAAAATCAGTGGGTTAAAGCTGGCCATAGATGAGTCAAAAACTGAATGAAAATTTGTGTTGATCGTCAAATCATTTGTTTTTCACATGATTACTGTGCCAGCTGCAATATATGATCTTCATGCCACAATCGAAAGTGCCTGATCCAACATGCTGTTTTTTTAGAAAAACAAAACAAATGATGGCATGATCATATGAGCTATCTTCATTTTTTGGTCAACAGAACATTTGGTTTTCTATTCATCTATGGCTGACTTTAGATCAGCGTCAAGGCCTCATGCACACTTGAGCTCATAAACGATGCCTCTAAATACATGCACATGTTAACCTATGTGTCCATGCACAGGAGTTTAGAGTCAGAAATTAAAAGAACATCACTTGTGCTTTCTGAAGAAGAACATTTGGCCTGAAAAATGTGCAAACGTGCAAATAAAAAAAGCGTTAATGCTAGGCTCGTTAATACATGATCATAATAAATTAATATTCTGGCCAATAAAATGCAATAACGCCAAATGCACATAAACACGCATGCATAAATGTGGCTTTTACTGTGTTTATTATGCTGCTTTTTTTCCTGTAAGGAGAAAGGAGGGTCTAAAAGGCTATAGGCAGCTGTAGGACAGCTATTACATGATGGTTAAAGTACTTCTATAGCCAAAACCTCTGTCAGGTTTTCCCCTGTTGGGTGATTCCACCTCTCTTCCTCTTGGTGATTATTATTTCCGGTACAAAAGGAAATTGAAAATACAAACTTTTAGGGCCAGTTCACACCAGGAATTACACAGGAGCGCACTGCGCAATCTTGTGCGAGTCACCTGTGGTGCAGTTACTTGTGAATGGGCTGAATCACCCTGGACTGCACCAAAAGTACTACTTTTAAAAAAGCACTGCAACCAGACACATTGTGTTTGCAACTTGAATTTGTAGTGTCGTTAACATTGACATCCGCTGCAGATCACAACTGCAGTGAGTTTGGAATGATGTGTGGGAAACTTGCGTGGAACATGGGTTTCCCACACAGCGTTCTGGTGTGAACTGGCATTTACATTTGCCACCTGAAGAGTAGGTGAGAGGAAATCTTCCACTGGGGACATCTGTCCTAATGTCAACTAAGCTCTTACTTTCTGTTGTATCTCCAGGACAGGAAGTTAAAATGTTACTATAAACCCATTACAGTAAAACCAGGCTGTATATGCAGTAAAGCATGCTTGGTATAGTGTGGAACCTAAGGGGTTAATCCTCTGCATTGTGTAAAAAGGCCATTTTATCCTGACTTCTCTGCCCCTTCTCTTGTTCAGATGTCCATCTGATAAGACAGGCTGAACCTGTAGCCACATGCACATGCTCAGTTTGGTGTGTTTTGCTAGAGAGGGGGGTTTTCTTTCTTGGGAGAGTGGATGTGATCAGCACATGGCCAATCAGCACTGTTCAGACAGAGGTCAGGGATTCTGCATCCTCCTAGAGCAGAGATAAAACTCCTCCTACAAGCTTTAACCAGTGCTCAGCTGAAGTCACAAGACTGTTATATACTGCTGATGAGAAAAGGTATTTAGCAGTTTATATTTATTAAAATAATTGTATTTCCATGTACTGTGGAAGACCAGATATTGTGAATACAAGGTCCGAGGTTTAGTAACACTTTAAGGGATATGTCCCCAAATGGACATTATCCTTTCCCCACTAAGTGCTAAAAAACAATACACTTTTAAACATACCCTATCATAAAAAAAAATCTTAAAACAAGTTATTGTAATTTATTTTTTTTTAATTTACAGTTTTGATTTAAAATACTAACTGGTAATCCTACTATTAAAGTGATACTAAAGCTTCAGTTTTTTTTTTTTGTAATCTAAAATAACAAACATGTTTATACTTACCTGCTCTGTGCAGTGGTTTTCAACAGAGCAGCTCCAATCCTCTTCTTTTTGGGTCCCCGCTGGTGCTCCTGGCTTCACCCCCTTGAGCAGTGCCCCCAGGAAAAGCCTCTTGCCCTGGGGGCACCGTTGCATGCTGGTCCCTGAGCTGCAGCTCTATGCGACCATAAGACACACAGAGCAGTGGCTCGGCCCCACTCTTTCCTCATTGGGTCAGTGGCTGTGATCGACAGCCAGTGGGCTCCCACTGCTGTCTCAGCCAATGAGGAGGAAAAGTCTCCAGACAGCAGAGGTTGTCATGAACGTCGCTGGATCAGAGGGGGCTCAGGTAAGAATTGAGGGGGGCTGCACACAGAATAAAATACATGAAGGCTAAAAACCTTGAGCCTTTACAATCACTTTAAAGTCCTTGTTCAAGCACTTTCTGTTATCAGGTGACCACACTCTGATGTGTGGTGAAGAGATCCCCTGAAACATTCCAGTTTTACTGCTGTGATGTGATCACTTTAACCACCTCCCGCCCGCCCTATAGTAATATCACGGACGCAAGGTGGTTCTCTCGTTCTCGGAGGACGTCATATGACGTGCTCCCATTCTAACCGCGCATGCGCGGCTCCCAGAGCGCAGCGATCAGCGGTGCGCTGTGTCCCTCGGACACAGCGGATCACCTATCCACAGAAAAAGCCGAAGATGTCGGCCCAGTCATGTGATCAGCTGTGTCCAATCACAGCTGATCACATGTAAACAGGGAAATGCCGGTTATCGTTGACAGCTCGAGAGGAGAGCCGGTAATAGCATTCCACGGAGGGGACATGTACACTGATCATCAGAGCACTGATGATCAGTGTGCCCTGATGATCAGTGTAGCCCCAGCAGTGCCACGTGTCAGTGTCCATCAGTGCCACGTGCCAGTGCCACATCAATGCCACATATCAGTGCCTACCAGTGCACATCAATGCCACATATCAGTGCCCATCTGAGCTGCCTTTCAGTGTCACCCATCAGTGCCGCCTATCAGTGCCAGTCATTGTTGCCTATCAGTGCCATATATCAGTGCTGCCTTTCAGTGCCCATCAGTGATGCCCATCAGTGCCACCTACCAGTGCCTCCTCATCAGTGCCACCTATCAGTGCCCATCATTGCAGCCTCATTAGCGCACATCAGTGAAGGAGAAAAATCACTTATTTACAAAATTTTATAACAAAAACTAAGAAAAAACTTTTTTTTTCCAAAATTTTCAGTGGTTTTTGGTTTGTTTTAAGAAAAAATAAAAAACCCAGAGTTGATTAAATACCACCAAAATAAAGCTCTATCTGTCACAAAAAAATTATAAAAATTTCATATGGGTACAGTGTTGCATGACCGCGCAATTGTCATTCAAAGTGCAACAGCGCTGAAAGCTGGCCTGGGCAGGAAGGGGGTATAAGTGCCCGGTAGGCTAGCGGTTAATAAACATTTGGATGCTATGGATCTATGACGTGCGCTGGCAATATATGCTTTAACACTCTGTACCTGTCTCTCAGTTGTTCTCCTGCTATTATTTATTTATTTCAGGTACTTCTATAGTGCCGTCAATTTACACAGCGCTTTACATATATATATTGTACATTCACATCAGTCCCTAACCCTCAAGGGGTGTACAATCTAAGGTCCCTAACTCCCTTTCATACATACACATACTAGGACCAATTTAGACAGGAGCCAATTAACCTACCAGCATGTCTTTGAGATGTGGGAGGAAACCGGAGTACCCGGAGGAAACCCACTCAGGCACAGGGAGAACATGCAAACTCAAGGCAGGTGGTGCCGTGGTTGGGATTTGAACCAACAACCCTAGTACTGCCATGTGGAAATGCTAACCATTTAGCCACTGTGCTGCTCATTATTAGCCCTGCTGAAACGCCTTTCACTGGGGTGTTCCCCTATTGTCACCATCAGGAAGCCCATCCAGAATAGTGATACGCAGCCACCACTGGGAGCGCATACATGTGGACAGGAAGTTGCTGCAAAGAGCCTGCAGGAGATCAGCAACAGAAAGGTGCAAAATAAATACATAAAACAGTATTTTCAAAAAGAAAACATGAACGTTCTAACCAGTTGGGGTGTATCTCTATTAAAGGTTATGCAGATGTACTGTAGCATCTGATATTCAAAAGGTTCAAAACTTTTAGTAGACCTGCCTTAAGGAGTAATATATTGCATTATGATGATTGACCTATTCACAAGATTTACCTTAGATGCAATACATTAAAATTGACTTTCAGCCCTGATTCACACTGATGCGGTGCGGAATTTGCAGCGTTTTCAGTGCAAATCAGAATGGCACCCCGTTCATGCGAACCGCGGGTGTGTATGTTAAGTTAGCAACACCCTGACATCGGTCCGCAAAATGCGATGTGATGTGCAGAATTGTATCACATAGGTGTGAATACCCATGCGATCCGATTCTAATGCAGACCAAAAAAGGGTCCTGCACGTTTCTGGTGCGGGTGCGGTGCGAATAGAGCCATACAATCGCACTGCACACAAATCGCATGTGATTTGCACAGGAATGCAGTGCGGTTCCTGTGCGAATCACATGTGATATACCGCACCACACATATGTGAAACCAGGCACAAATACAGTATGTTTTTCTGAAATAATTTTTTTTAATGACACTCTGCTTGGCATTCCTATTCTGCGTATTTGTAAAAATGATTATTTTGCGACAGAAGCAGAACACCAAAGTTTTATTCACTCACTGTACTGTCTCTACTACTGAGCACTGCAATCCTCTTATGCAGGCCATAAGACACATTTTTTTAATTGGTTATGTTGGAAAAAAAAGGCCGATTTTTTTTCGATCAGCCGATTTTCACGGCAATGATGGGCAAAGCGTCCAATCTTTTTACCAATTAAAAAAAAATGCGCATGAGCCATGACCTGCAAGAAGAAGAAAAAGAAGAAGATGAAGACAAAGAAAAAGAAGAACATCTGTATCTATTTGTATCCATTTTGGATACAGATGTTTCTATTTGGATACAAATAGATACAATGTTGCAACCGCAGTACTTTTAAATGTAAAAAATAATAGCGGAGTGTCCCTGCAGAGAGCTCTGCTATTATATTTGACATTTAAAAGTATTGTGGTTGCAACATTGTATCTATTTGTATTGAAATGGATACAAATAGATACAATGTTGCAACTTTGCTATACTTTTAAATGTCAAATATAATAGCGGAGCTCTCTGCAGGGACACCGCTATGGTATTTGCCAGCCGTAGACGGGACGAAAATCAGCCGATTTTTTTTTTACCAATGGTGGTAACGTTGTCCGATTGAACGACCGATTTTTCTTTTTTTTTTTAAAAAAACGTCCGGTTTTCGCCCCGTCTATGGTCAGCTTTACACATGAGCTAGTTAGGTCGTTAAATATAACTGCTGGCGTTTTTCTTCCACCCAGGATGTCTAGGTGCAACTTAGAGCCTGTAATTGACATGAAAGGCTGTGCGTTGCTGTACTCATGTAAAAGGCAGTGCTATCATAAACAAGAGTACAGCAAATGGGCATATGTAAAAAAAATAGAAACCTACACAGCAATGGTAATAAAACCATTATTTGGCAGGATAAGGAAAGGAGTAGGCTATGGAAATATGGGGGGTAGGAATTTTGCTGTATAAAGAGTCCACATCCATAATCATAGTGATTATTCAAGCAGAATTTCTGTGCATCAACATTCCTCACAAGGATGGGTTGGCTGTATGTCACAAAATATTATCATGCTCACCAAATAACAAATACAGTGCTGAGGATTTCAACAAAATAGTGTCCGTCTGCACATAGACACCGGCTTCAGCAAAGTGCAAAGTCTAATTGCCTTTAGTAAATCAACCCCATAGAGACAGAGCAGCACAGTCTTGAGAAAAGCTCTTCTAAGCTTATCACACACATTTGTCTATTTGTAGCACACATATTGTTACATTTGTGCATTTGTTTCCGTCATACTGTGACAATTAGTTCTTTTTTTTTTTTTTTTTTTGCATGCATGTTGTAATGATTTCCTATTTGCTGCCTGAATTTGTAACAGTTTACTGATTGTTGTCTGTGTGTTGAATACAGTTGCTAATTTGGAGCCCATCTACTCAGAATTGCTATTTTGTGTCTACATATTGTGAAGTCACCACTGTTTGGAGGCTCTTATTACTATTATTTAGTACCTGTAGATTTGTCACTATCAAAACATGCTGCTATTACCTATATGTTTTCACCACGATGCATTATATGCTGCTCTTAAAACCAATTATTTATTTGTTTTATATTTAACCAACATGGTTATACATACAGTAAAATATTAAAAAAACCTTCAATCTTTCAATTTTTTTTTCTGCTCATTATTAGTATTTAATTTCATGAGTACTACTAAAAATTGAGGTATAGAGGAGCCCATCTCATAAAAATAGGTTGCATTTCCTCTTTCTTTATGTGTTCTATAAACCTTAATTTATGTTGTAAATTATTATGCATGTTAATAACAAAATCTGTGTTTTGTGATAACGTGTGCCTCAGTTTTCCAATTAGTTTCAATATGCATAATTCATCTACTATTGTTCATTTGAAATACTGTGTGAATTTGGTCTAATTTTTACCCACTGGGGATGTGACAAAGGATGGCTTGTCATTGCTTCAGTTCCCCATAAAACCACAGCTTTCTTCTACCTCTCAGTATGTGACAATTTGCTTGCAATCATATTGTCAACATCAAAAGCGGCAAACCACTGTATGTAATAAAAGTATTGCAATCTCCTGTTTCATAGGAATGTAGAATTGAAGTCAACCTTGTATCAGACAAGCGCCCCAGGCCAATCGTATTACACCATGCAGGTTTTCTCTGTCTGCTTTGTGGTAAGCAGTGATGTCACTGGTGAAACCTAGATTCTCCCTAAATTCCCGTCAGCTGTCCAACAGGATGTAAGTATAACCACTGCCAGTATCACAGATACAAGAAACTAGAAGAAGACTAGGGGTTTGTGCTATCATTAAATGGAATTAATAACAAAATATACAGGGGCTGTCCGAGAAAAAATGTATAGTGAAACAATATCCTATTATTTATTAAACACATTTCTATTGCACCTAAAATTGAGACCCAGAGAAATCCTTGAGTGGCGTTTAAAAATTACAGAAACTTTACGCTCTAGTAGTAATTGACACTGATAGGCAGCACTGATTGGAACTGTTAGGCGACACTAATGGGCACTGATAGGCAGCACTGACTGGCACTGATAGGTGGCACTGACTGGCAGTGATAAGTGGCACTGATTGGCAGCACTGAGAGGCGACACTGACTGGCACTGATAGGCGGCACTTACTGGCACTGATAGTTGGCACTGAAAGGCAGCTCTGGTGGGCACTTATATGTGGCATTGAGGTGCACTCGTAGGCACTGATATGTGACATTGATGGACACTGGTATGTGGAATTGATGGGCATTTACAAGTGGCATTGATGATCAGTGTAGATGTCCCCTCTGAGGAATGCTGATTACTGGCTCTCCTCTCCTCATGTGTTGTCAGCGTGAGAAGAGGACTGCCGGTAATTGGCACTTCCTTGTTTACATGTGATCAGCTGTGATTGGACACAGCTGATCACATGACAAAGCCAACATCATCTGTTCTTTACTCTGATCGGTGATCCACTGTGTCCCAGTGACACAGCGCACCACCAATCGCCTCGCAGGGTGCTCCTGGGGACGAATATGTGCAGTTGGAGTGGGAGGATGTCATATGACATCCTCCCAGAATGAGAGAACCGCTGCCCACCATTTCCTTATGGTGGGCAGGCGGAGGTTAACATGACATTAAACTCCAGTTTAAAAAAAAACATTCTGATCAAGTATGAATTTTTTATTTAGATAAATAAATTGATGTCGCACTCCTAATCTACGTAATATTATAATCATATATCATTCAAAAATGAAATCGATAACTAAATTCCCAAATCAGTCAAAGAAATATATAAAAAATAACCACTGTGATCAAAATATACAGTCATGGCCGAAATTGTTGGCACCCTTGATATTTCTCCAGGAAATCATGTATTTCTCACGAAACGTATTGCATTAACACATGTTTTGCTATACACATGTTTATTCCCTTTGTGTGTATGGGGACAAAACAAAAAAAGGGAGGAAAGAAAGCAAATTCGACATAATGTCACACAAACCTCCAAAAATGGGCTGGACAAAAGTATTGGCACCCTTTCACAACTGCGGATAAATAAGAATGTTACAAGCATGTGATGCTCCTGTAAACTCACCTGGGGCAAGTAACAGGTTTGTGGGCAATATAGAAATCACACCTGAAAGCAGATAAAAAGGAGAGACGTTCACTTAACCTTTGCATTGTGTGTCTGTCTGTGCCACACTAAGCATGGACAACAGAAAGAGGAGACGAGAACTGTCTGAGGACCTGAGAACCAAAATTGTGGCAAAATATCAACAATCTCAAGGTTACAAGTCCATCTCCAGAGAACTAGATTTGCCTTTGTCCACAGTGCGCAACATTATCAAGAAGTTTGCAACCCATGGCACTGTAGCTAATCTCCCTGGTCGTGGACGGATGAGGAAAATTGATGAAAGATTGCAACGCAGAATAGTCCGGATGGTGGATAAGCAGCCCCAAACATGTTCCAAAGACATTCAAGCTGTCCTGCAGGCTCAGGGAGCATCAGTGTCAGCGCGAACTATCCGTCGACATTTAAATGAAATGAAACGCTATGGCAGGAGACCCAGGAGGACCCCACTGCTGACACAGAGACATAAAAAAGCAAGACTACAGTTTGCCAAAATGTACTTGAGTAAGCCAAAAGCCTTCTGGGAAAACGTCTTGTGGACAGATGAGACCAAGATAGAGCTTTTCGGTAAAGCACATCATTCTACTGTTTACCGAAAACGGAATGAGGCCTACAAAGAACAAAACACAGTACCTACGGTAAAATATGGTGGAGGTTCAATGATGTTTTGGGGTTGTTTTGCTGCCTCTGGCACTGGGTGCCTTGACTGTGTGCAAGGCATCATGAAATCTGAGGATTACCAAAGGATTTTGGGTCGCACTGTAGGGCCCAGTGTCAGAAAGCTGGGTTTGCGTCCAAGATCCTGGGTCTTCCAGCAGGGACAATGACCCCAAACATACGTCAAAAAGCACTCAGAAATGGATGGCAAAGAAGCGCTGGAGAGTTCTGAAGTGGCCAGCAATGAGCCCAGATCTAAATCCCATTGAACACCTGTGGAGAGATCTTAAAATTGCTGTTGGGAAAAGGTGTCCTTCCAATAAGAGAGACCTGGAGCTGTTTGCAAAGGAAGAGTGGTCCCAAAATTCCGGGTGAGAGGTGTCAGAAGCTTATTGATGGTTATAGGAAGCGACTGATTTCAGTTATGTTTTCCAAAGGGTGTGCAACCAAATATTAAGTTAAGGGTGCCAATACTTTTGTCCAGCCCATTTTTGGGGTTTTGTGTGACATTATGTCATATTTGCTTTTCTGCCTCTGTTTTATATTTGTTCCAATACATACAAAGGGAATAAACATGTGTATAGCAAAACATGTGTTCATGCAATACCTTTTTTGTGTGAAATACTTGATTTTCAGGAAAAATATCAAGGGTGCCAACAATTTCGGCCATGACTGTATAATATGACTTCCAATACAATCATAAAGGGAAAAAAAGTCTCTAATCAGTAAAAGTGATAAGTCCCAGTGTTTCAAGTGAAATTATATATTCCAGTGACTTCCTTAGTATGGTTTAGATGTACGCTCACCTCCTTGCTAGCCTATAATAGGCTAACTGCGCATTTGTTCACTAAGAGGAACATATAAGATATATATTGCATCGTGTGAAGTATGGTGGATATCCCTCAGCTGGTTCCCCGTCACATATCTCTTCTGTTGTCTCTCTCCCGTGCAGCTACTCCTCCTCCTTATGCTATATCCTCAGTGGGAAAGAAATTCACAAATAGTGCCTTATCCGTCCACGAATGATCAGTGATGTCGCAGCCCCTCCCCTACGTGTTACGCCGCCAGTCACGCGGCTTCATCGGGGTTGATATTGGCAAAATTTGGTATCAGTGTCAGTTAGTGTCAATGTCAGTGTCACTGTGTTTTAGGTAAAAAAAAAAAAAAAAAAGACAAAAACAAAATGCGCACTATTGTTTCTGGGCTGTACTACGGGTACAAACAACAAATAACATACACATATATGGTATCGCTGCGATTGTCAAGAGCTGGAGATTTTATTTTGGGTTGTTCTTCGGTGGTGGTAGGTTATGGTAGTAACAAGAAACACACAGCTAAATAAAAAAAAAAGATTTTTTTTTTTACTATTTTGGGCCAGTTTTCCTTTGATAATAAAGGATATATCCATTACCATTTACCACCAAATGAAAGCCCAATTTGTCCTGATAAAAACGCAGTATAATTCACCTGGATGTACAAAGTAGTTGTGATGATATGTACGGTTTTACTAACACATGTCAACATTGCAAAATTGTGCTTAGGCATTTACATTTGTTTTACCCTTAGGCATGAAGGGGTTCACCTGCCGAAATGGAATAGGAACTATGAATAATGTCTGGGAGGTGTGTGGTGTGCAGAGCTGTGCACAGGACCCCTACTAACGTGCACTGTTTATTCCAAACAAACAGAAGTAAGAGGTTAAAAGGAGAGGTTCGAGAGCTCACAGAGGATGTTACAAGGTGGCAGAAAAACACAGTAAGAAACAGTTTAAAGTGATATTAAATGCATTTTTAACCACTTACCTACTGGACACTTTTACCCTCTTCCTGCCCAGGCCAATTTTCAGCTTTCAGCGCGCTGTCGCACTTTGAATGACAATTGTGCAGTCATGCAACACTGTACCCATATGAAATTTTATCTTTTTTTCACACAAATAGAGCTTTCTTTTGGTGGTATTTAATCGCCGCTGGGTGTTTTATTTTTTTTGCACTATAAACAAAAAAAAGAGAAAAAAATTTGGAGAAAAAAAAAGTTTTCCTTTTTTTCTATTATAAAATTTTGCATACAGGTAATTTTTCTCCTTCACTGATGTGCGTTGATGAGGTGGCACTGATAGGTGCACTGATAGGCTGCACTGACTGGCTGCACTGATGGGCACTGATGGGGGGGCACTGGTGGGAGGCAGTGCTGGGCACTGGTAGGTGGCGCTGTTGGGCACTGATCATCAGTGCCCTGATGATCAGTGCCGATCTGTTCTATGACAATTGTCGGTTACCGGCAGTACTTTCCTCACACTGTGACAGCGTGAGGAAAGTGCTGCCGATAACTGGCAACTGTATTTACATTGTGATCTGCTGCGTCATTGGACACAGCTGATCATGTGGTAAAAGGCTGCTGTGATTGGCCTTTTACCTCATCACGTGGTCAGCTGTGTCCGTAGGACACAGCGATAACGGAGATCACTGGATACGCGCCGCTGGGGCTGTGTGGAAGGGCGCGTTCCGGGAGGACATCATATGACTGGACAACTGCGCTATAGAAGGAATGACGGCTACAGCGCGGTTGTCCAGTCATATGACGTCCTCCCAGAACGCGCCCTCCCATCATTCGGCTATAGAGGGGTTGGGAAGAGGTTAACAAAAAACAACAAACATGTTATACTTAACTGTTCTGTGCAATGCTTTTGCACAGAACAGCCCTGATTCTCCTCTTCTCAGGTTCCCTGCCAGTGCTCCTGGCCCCTCCCTGCTGCCGAGTGCCCCCAGAGCAAGCAGCTTGCTGTGGGGGAACCAAAGAAAGATTGCTCCCAAGGCACTGCTCTTTGTGTCCATTCCCACACAGAACTCTGGTTCTGTTCTGTCCTCTCTCTCTCCTCATTAACTCACTGGCAGTGATTGACAGCAGTGGGAGCCAATGGCTCCCACTGCTATCTCAGCCAATGAGGAGAGAGAGTCCTTGGCGAGCCGAGCTCACGTGTACATCACTGCATAACGATGGGGCTCAGGTAAGTATTGGGGGAGGGGGGGGCTGCTGCACACAAAAGGTTTTTTACCTTCATGCATTCTATTGAGCATTTACAACCATTTTAATTAAAAATAGATTAGGGGGCCATTAACCACTTCAAGACCACCCCATAGCAGATGTACTGCTACAGGACGACCACGCTGTGCAAAATCACATAAATATACGTGATTTTGCACTTTCAGGTAGGGGGTGTGCACGCTGTCATTGGCTCCAGAGGATGTCAATCACCGGGCCCCTTTACGGTGATTCCCGAGCAGGACTCTGTGATCGGAGGAGAAGCTGAGAGGGGAGATATCTACCGTATGTGTAAACAACAAAGATCTCTCTCCTGTCAGCAGGGATGTGCTGCTTTCTATCGCTCTGCACAGCAGAGCGATAGAAAGCAGCACATCTACTAATAAAACAGCACACAGTTTACACAGTAAGTACAAACAGCACACTGTTAACCCTTTGATTGCCCCAGATGTTAACTCCCCCTGCCCAGTGTCATTAGTACTGTGTCAGTGCTTTTTATTCGCAATGATCACTGTATTAGTGTCAATGAAGATGTCAGTGGCAGTTAGTCAGTTGCCACCCAGTGTCAGAATACCCGCCACAGTCCCGCTATACGTCACTGATCGCCGCCATTACTAGTATAAAAATAAATAAATATAAATAAATAAAAATTCCAGTATACATACCGCCATTTGTAGACACTATAACTTTCATGTAAACCAATTACAGAATACATTTTGGGAAAACTTTATGAAGAAATTTTATTTTTTATGTTTTTATTTGATATGTTTTATATCAAAAAGTCAAATATATTGGGTTTTTTTTTTCAAAATTGTCAATATTTTTTTGTTCATAGCCCAAAAAAAAAAAACGCAGAGGTGCTTAAATACCACTAAAAGAAAGGTCTATTTGCAGGACAAAAATTACATACATTTCATTTATGGCCTGGTCAGGAAGAGAGGTACATCTTCCAGAGCTGAAGTGGTTTTTAAGTAATAGATGTGTATAGATTATTATATTTGAAAAACAAGGATATTGTTTAGTGTCACTTTAAGGGGAGAGTTATACAGTCTACATATCACGTATGGCAATAGAACACATGGAACTTATTTAAGTATAAAATGCACAATACCTGCAGGTCTTGACTCCACATTTAGAGGATCCCTTAAAGTGGAACTAAGCCCTCCTGTCTTTTACAGTGAATGAAGCTGCCATAATAGTCTCTGATCTGCAGTTGCCATTGTACTGCACATGTGATCAGCTATAACACCAGCCATTAATACACTGATTTAATACTGAGCAATGTTTGAGATGGTTTGTTAGGAACTCTTTCCAAAAAGCTTCATAGACATTTACTTTATAGCGAGCCTAAAGGGCTCATCTACCAATGAATCTTCAGCCTGACTTCAAGATATATTACACAGTATATATTCAGTATATAACTGCTTATTTGAATATAAAATGGGTTTCTCTGTATAATGTTTACAATTTAACTGTATTTTCTAGATAATTTGGTCACAGAAGTGGTAAAATGTAGTTGCCTATACTCTATATAGCCACACTCTATGAAGCTCTGACCTATCTTTTTGCGTGCCTATACCCCATCAATAGATCAGGCAGGGTATCCTTTCTCATGTAAGCGAACACTAAATTAGACTATCTCAAATAAGGTCTGACAGGAAACCGATCCATTTCACACGGTAAACTTGCACACTGGAATAGCTTTAGTGGCAGGTGGAGGATGGTAAATCTTTGCCCTAAGAATTGAGTTCCCAGCAGAAGGTTTTTAATGTGCAATATTCACAACCCTACCACTGGGCACCTATCTCTTTAAAGTAATAAACAAAAACCACAGTGCCACTGCACCAGACATATGTGAACAGGTACCATAGGGAGCAATGTTATTTCACATTTCATACAGTTCAAACTGCATCCAATCCACATATATGTGAACTGGCATTCAACCATGGAACCTTGGAGTTCATCGAGCAAGCAGCAATGTCTGCTTCTCAGATAAGTTTCGAAAAAACACAGCAAACTCTGTACTCCTGTACTTGGGATGGACTCAGCTAGGGCTATGGTAACAACATAGATGTCCTGGATAATGCACTCCTTGCTGCCCTCAACGGACTGGGGTAGTCCAATGTCACTGGATACAACTTCCAACATGCTAACCTTTTTTCGAGGATTTAGCCTCTCTGAATAAGAGGCTGAGTCCTCGAAACACGTTAGCCTGTTGGAAGTCCAGGGTTCCATATATGGGCTTATATGCAGTGTGGATTGGACACCGCTGTTTAGTGTGATGTGCCTTTGACCTGTATGTCAGTTGTGAGTACGATACTTACTTTTTATCCTTCCAATAAATATTTTTTACGATAATGCACTAGGTCAGTGCATTATCGGTGATTGTTTTTCTTTTTATCTCAGATAAGTTCCCACTGACATCAATTATCTTTTTAGCTATCTATGAGAGGGTTAATCATCCAACTTACCAACTGACCACAAATGTAATGAGCAGGGGCGGACTGACCATTTGGAAACTCGGGCACTGCCCGAGGGCCCGGGGTCAGTAGGGGGCCCCATGAGATGCCCCTGGTACCTTTTTTCATACGCTTTTTTGAGTGTGGGCAAGGACACGGGGGCCCCATGATCCCCTATTGCCCGGGGGCCCCATGAGTTGTCAGTCCGCCCCTGGTAATGAGCATTCTTCTCAGTGACCATCAAACTAATGTTCAGTGAATTGTAGATAGAATAAATATTAGCAGGGGTTTCCTTGAGGATATAAAGTTATTTTAAAGGTTCCTTCATTTTAAAAAGTTTGAGTAATACTAAGAGAGTGCAACAGTTTTGAAGTTGTCATGTATAGCGCAGCATAAAGAGTACAATAGAAGATACTGTATAGTAAAAAATTAACGAGTGCTTGGAAATAAATGGTAAGCAGCTGGCATAAAAGGTACAAACCCAAACTTTCACACTATAAATAATAATAACATATGCAGCGCTAAAAAAGAGATGACCCGTAAATCATAAGTCTGATAAAATATGAATATGAATAAAATAAAATAAATGGTTACTAAAGTGCTTAAAGTGAAAACAACGTCCTCAGGTGATATCTCAATTGTCCCAGTAAAAGGTGCAAAAGCTGTCGACTCCGTGCTCAAAGGTGGGTAAACTTTATGCACTCACCAGAAAGCGCATAATGTGCGCATTTGAGTTGTCAGACCACTCCTGGTACTAGAAGGCTGAGGCAATGTGGGTCATCTAGCAGGCTGTCACTCTGGTAGGGATGCTCCTTCCTCTAACCAGCAGGGGGACACCAGACATCCAGCAACGGTTGGCATAAAGCTAATCCAGACTCCTCAGACCAGGACACTCAAAAATGATATCCACCTTGAAAAGGGGGGGGGGGGCTCAACCAAACAGCCCACCCAAAAAAGGATAGTGTAGTAAGTTCATAAACTTTTATTAGGACATAGTGTAATCAACTCACATAGGGTAGCCCAGAAACAAAGATGGCCGACGGCCTCCACGAGGTGCTGGGCAGCGTGACGTCACCGGCTAGGCTCCACCCTTTTCTCTTGTTTGTATAACAATCACTTTCATGCACAGCTCTCTCAGGAGTGGCTCTCTGAGTCCCAGGCCACAAGGCTGTTTCTGGGCTACCCTATGTGAGTTGATTACACTATGTTCTAATAAAAGTTTATGAAATTTACTACACTATCAGTGCTTTTTTGGGTGGGCTGTTTGGTCGAGCCCCCCCCCCTTTTTTAAGGTGGATATAATTTTTGAGTGTCCTTGTCTGAGGAGTCTGGATTAGCTTTATGCCAACCGTTGCTGGATGTCTGGTGTCCCCCTGCTGGTTAGAGGAAGGAGCATCCCTACCAGAGTAACAGCCTGCTAGATGACCCACATTGCCTCAGCCGTCTAGTACCAGGAGTGGTCTGACAACTCAAATGCGCACATTATGCGCTTTCTGGTGAGTGCATAAAGTTTACCCACCTTTGAGCACGGAGTCGACAGCTTTTGCACCTTTTACTGGGACAATTGAGATATCACCTGAGGACGTTGTTTTCACTTTAAGCACTTTAGTCACCATTTATTTTATTTTATTCATATTTTATCAGACTTATGATTTATGGGTCATCTCT